GATTTGAATCATTCACTACCTTGTTCTCCACAAAGCAACATGTTTTACATTAATTCTCTTGACATGTTTTACACCTGTCCTGATTCATGGTTCAAGGAGGGAAGGGTCTTGTTGGTTCTGCAAAATAGTGAAGTGTGTTCCTGAGAAAGTGTGGTTATTACTAAGCTGTGTACTGGAAATGAGTGCTCACCATCTTACATTGCTGCATTTCTTTCCTGCTGGGATGGGCTGTGAATGACATGCTCTCATCTACAGAGGGCTGATTTTATCCATATTCTGTGATTTCCTCTATCAGCAGACCAGAACTCAATCAAGATTTTTTTTGGATGGATATAAAGGTATCCAAATTAATGTCATGCCTTTAGCCAGTCATATGAAACTTTGTCATTTGGAAGACTGGTTTCTCCTTCATTTTATCAAGTTATTTTTTTCCATTTCTAAGATCCCTGCATAAATCATAGCTCCAGACTGGATAGCAATCTATCAGTCAGTCAGTCAGTCAGTCAGTCGGTCGGTCGGTCAGTCAATCAATCATTCAAAGTTATTTTTATTTGGTAAGAGAATTACTTCTCTTGAAATACCCAAACTGAGCAATTATAATGTTTGAACAGTAATTTTTTACTAACAAGATGTTATAAGATATTTATATCTTATATGTATAGTGACAGTTTATATAGTGACAATTACTTACCTTATAAACTGGCATAGTGTAAATTACCATTACAGTTTGTTTACAGGCAGTTCTATGGTAACTGAATTGCAATCTCTGCTGTTGTATCTCAGCTATCAAATTACACTGCATAATGGGTTGCACCTTCACCACTAATGAAGAAAAATGCATGACATTTTGGTAACGGAATTACTTCAGCAGATTCAAGCAAAAACAGTTAGAGTGTTCTGAATTGCTGATACAGTAAATATAAATGGCAGGAGATCAGGTATTCTGAGCCTATGATGAAATCAGTGAACTGAAGGGTGTTACAACGGGGCATGATTGACAGTCCACTAGGTTATGAACCCTAAACACTCAAAAACACTAAACACTCAAAACTAAAGAGACCACGAAGAGTCTTATCAAAGACAGGTAAGCAAGACTGAAACAAACTAGTACTTTAACCAGAAACAAAGAAACACAGAGTGAGAATCCAGATTTAAAACAGGAATTACCAGGTGGAACTGAGAACAGGCATGTTATGAGTACATCATAAGTCACATGATAGATACTTGCTCATACACAGAGCCTCCTTATCTGCCCTCAGAGCATCATCCAGCGTAACCAACACATGGAGCCCACATGACCATAGCACAGGTGTACTGTACGTCCAGCCGAACGCCGCTCCTGTGCCAGAATGGGTGGGTATGTGATGCCAACCAATATTATGGAAACTTCAATGGTCCCGATGTCTTAAGACATCTAAACTGAACGTGTTATAAATAAAAGTGCAGTCTTTTTCAAACAAAACAACTTACAGTTTTTAAGGTGATGTAAAATGTTCAAATAAAAGGCAATTGGGCTGTTGTTTTCCTACATCTCACAGTTGAGATTCCTTACCAGGCTACAGACGATTCAGCTCCTCTGCCAGCTGACCCCTCCTTGCCCACGCTGCTGCCAGCGTACACTCCTTTGTTGGCATCGGCACATGCAGTTCAGCATCACGCCTTCTGAAGTCCTATAATGTGTCCTCATTTATGTCCGACAGACATCCATCACGCATGGTAATGTCACGCAACATACAACATACCACAAAGAATACCGTGACCTTCTGCGGGCTGCATTGTAATGTTTACATGACTCATCTAAATATCTGAAATGCATTTTCAGGCATCCAAATGTCCTTCCAATTATAGTGCCCGCTTAACTCTGATTATGAGCTTGAATGCTTTTAGACGTACTCTATGAAAAGCATATGAAATAAAATAAATAAAAAACCACTGCGCCACTTAACTGCAACGCGTTGCCACACCCACCACACAGTGAATCTCCTCAGGATCCCAGCCGGCGATCCCACAGGCAGATACATAGTCCAGTCTCACCCTCCGGAGATGGCCATCCATCTGCCGGAGCCAGGTGTTACGTGGGCGTCCCCTTGGTCTGGTCCAGCCGCTTGGTTCCTCAGCGATGAGGATCCTGCGAGCCGGATCACCCTAAGGGAAACGCGGCACATGCATGGCCGTAACTGATGCTCCCTCACAATGCAGGTAATGTGGTTCAATCGGGACTCCTCTAGCAACCGCTCATTCAACACAAAGTCAAACCAGCAGGACCCAAGGATTCTCCCAAGAGACACAGTACCGAAGGAGTCCAGTCTTCGTCTCAGTTCACTGGATAGCAACTATGTGTCACAGCCATACAGCAAGACAGGGAGCACCAGGACTCTAAAGACTTGGACCTTTGTCCTCTTGCACACACCCCTTTACAGCGACCTCATGACCCCCCATGCTCTTCCAATCCATCTACTGACTTCATAGGAAGAGTCACCAGAGACATGAAAGTCACTGCCGAGGTAAGTAAATCTCTTGACAAGGTTGACATTCTCCCCGCAGATGGTTGGATCTTGGTCTTTATCCAGGACACCCGCAATCGCAGACACTCAAACTCCTCGCTCAGTCTCTTCAGAGCCCCAATTTGAGCCTCCATTGATGACACTAAGATTACAGCATCGTCAGCAAAGTCAAGCTCAGTAAGTCTTTCTTCACCAACAGATGCCCCACAGCTGCTGGACCCCACAACTCTGCCCAACACCCAGTCCATACAAGCATTGGACAGAGTAGGA